CAGAGCCGCACACAGAAACGCCGTTTACCTTCCCGCTAGTAAGCGGTCCCTATTTATCTACTTGCACCCGGGGGTGCTTTCGAACTGCTAGGTTGGCAGGCGCTGGGACCGAACAACGGGAGCGCACCCCGCCACGGGGATTCGAACCGCCGACCTTTCGATCGGCAAGCCCTAGGCGCTGAGGCTTTTACCCACAGCGCCACCCGCGTCCCTAGAATCATTTGTTACTATGAGCCAGATCCTGCCACCTTGTAATAAACCATTACGTGGCTTCGCTTACCTCTCTTTTAAGGACCTTGTTTTCTTTATTATCTTTTCATTCTGGGATAAGGCGAGAGGTTGTGCTCTGTCTGTTAGCATACTGAACTAGAAGGCTTTATAACTAGGCAGATAAAGACGTGAAAGAACAGCTATTTACAGTTAGCATTTGGATGAAGGACTGGGGGGGGAAAGGAGAGAAGAGAAACTTTCCTGTTACTCTGCTGCCAGCTCCATGCCAGCTCGCGCACCCGCAGCGTTCCCGCCCGGGGAGGCGGCGCCCCCAGGAGAGGCGGCGGCGGCGGCAGCAGCAGCCGCGTGCGGCCCGGGCTCCCCTCGCCGGCCGCGGGAGCCAAGGCGCGCAACGAGGGCAGCCGAGGAAAGGAGCGCGCGGCCCCGTCCCGCCCTCGCCACTCACCCTTGTGCAGCGGCCCCGCCCGGCGGGGAACTTAGAAAACTTCCCGGGGCAGGACCCCGGTATGGGCCCCCCCAATATTTTTTACAAGTCGGCGCCCCTGCTGTTAAGTTAACGTGACACAAGAGGGCTTTAAATGTGTCGTGTGGGTGAAACCAGAGAGAGAAGGAGCCCTCCTTCCAGCCCTCCTTCCTCACCCACCACTGTAGAAAGAGAAAAGGTTGCCTGCCCCAGGTTAGGGGATGTCCCATAGCTCCAGGGTGGAGAACCGTGGTGAGAAAACATGTAATGTTCAACGGAAATAATCTTAGGAAGCCGAAGCCTTGAAGAATTTCTGCTAGTCAGCACAATCAATACTAGTGGGCTAGTTGGACCAATGATCTGGCTTGCCATTTTACAGGGGTGGCTGGCTGGTGCCCATTGGCAGGCAGAACCAGCACTTGGGTTTCCCCCAATGCTCTTCCCAGCTGAATCCTACAACGACAACACTGGTGCTAAGGAGGAGATGGCGGCAGCTCCTTGGACAGGTCGTCAGTAAGGCAGGTGGGTGGGAGCAGGCTGAAAACAGACTGAGATGCCTGGGGGCTGTACGCCATTTGCCCCAGAGGACCAACCACAATATATTTATATGACACGTGGATGAATAGGCTTAGGATTTTATATAAGTTAAGTGATGAATCAATATGTATAATTTCAAAAGGTAAAGATTGAAAGATGTTCATTTAAGATGCTGTATTTGGATCCTCTGTCTTATTGGTTTCCTCCAAAAGGCAGGACTGTGATTGCCTGATATTGTTCCCTCCAAAATGTATCCTTTCTAGCTAGTTCCCTGTCCCTATAAATGTAGCTCTCCCCTCCTCAAGTCTTAGTCTTGTTTGCTTTAATAAAGAAGTGTTACTGGAGAACTGTCTCCAGCATATTATGTCAAGAGAGCTGAAATCACAAACCCCACGTCACAACAAGAACTGTGATCTGGAAAACCGTTAAATGGATATGCATGGAAATTCAACCAAGGGGAAGCGAGGAAGTCACTTAACAATGTTAATGAGTATAATTTCTAATAAGATTATGATTTGTGTTTGTTTGTCTTGTTTGTTTATAATTTTGTGAAAATTAATAAAAAAAATAGGGGGGGGGGGAAATATGACATGTGGATAAGGAAGCTGGTTCTCTGACGTGTCCTGAGAAGTATTGCCTAGTGTCCCCAGGTAATCTGGCTGGTGTATAGATCGGCGGGGTGGGGGACGGACACGGACCTCTGGCTTGCAGTCCTCAGAACTCTCAGGGCTGCACCACTCACTGGTCCTCCTCCATACCTGCTTTGAGTGTTTTCGTTTGGCTATAATGTGTCCTTGAACACTAATACAGTGGTACCTCGGGTTACATACGCTTCAGGTTACATACGCTTCAGGTTACAGACTCCGCTAACCCAGAAATATTACCTAGGGTTAAGAACTTTGCTTCAGGATGAGAACAGAAATTGTGTTCCGGCGGCAGCGGAAGGCCCCATTAGCTAAAGTGGTGCTTCAGGTTAAGAACAGTTTCAGGTTAAGTACGGACCTCCGTAACAAATTAAGTACTTAACCTGAGGTACCACTGTAATGCCTCATGCTTGTCTGGATGGAGAATAGAGAGAGCTGTGACAGTGTAAGGAAGCTAGTCTATTGTACAACCGTAAAAATTGCATTACTTTCTCCACCCACTTTCACCTCTGGCCAGAAAGTTGCTTGGGAGTGTGGCTTTGGACAGAAAGATATTCCCCTTCCCTGCAGTATGGCAGGAGAGCAGCCGCTGCTATGGATGTGGCTCAGCTGTGGAGCAGCAAGGTGTGAAGGGGCTGCCCTGGCCTGGCAACAGTGCCTAGGGGAACTTTGGGACAACGCAGTGTGCATTACCTTGCCAGCACAGCCACATCAGCCTGACGTAAGAGCCTCGCTGGATCCGGCCAAAGGCTCCTAGAATCCAGCACCCTGTTCTCAGAATGGTCGGTCAGGTGCCTACGAGAAGCCTGTAAGCATGACCGGAGTGAAACACCACTCTCCCCACTTGTGATTTTCAGAGCCATGTTGCCTCCAACAGAGAACATAACAATTGTGGCTAGGAGTCACTGATTGCTCTATCCTCCATGAATTTGGCTATTCCAAGTTGGTGGCCATCATTACATTTTGCCAGACAAATTCCATAGTTTACCTATGTGCTGCATGGATAAGTACTTTCTTTTGGGCTGTCCTGAATATTGCCACATTCCGCTTCACTGGATGACCTCAGGTTCTAGTATTATGAGGACAAAACCTTTCGTCTACTTTCTCCACACCTTTGCAAAACCACTAGCATGCTTTTCCCCTCTAAACTATGAAGCCCCCCAGATGCTGCAACCTTTCCTCATACTGGAGTTGCTGTAGCCCTTAAAAAAATTTCTTGTATCTGCACCCAGATATAAAAATGTGACATGAACTGCAAATGAACCTGTCTCTTCGCTGGTGCCAGCTCTGCTTTTCTGACTTGCAGATACTTTTTTCTTTTTACTTTAACACAAGAGGGAGCATTTCAAAACAGATCCCTTGCCCCACTTGCCATCACATGCTGCAGAAGGAGGGGGTAGAACTGGTGAGATCGCCTTACTGAATTCTCCACTATGCAAAAACCACATCCACTCCCTGGAGGTAGCTTAGCAGGGAGGGCTTAAACAAGAACTGTGTATGTGTTCTTTCCTTCCTTCCTTCCTTCCTTCCTTCCTTCCTTCCTTCCTTCCTTCCTTCCTTCCTTCCTTCCTTCCTTCCTTCCTTCCTTCCTTCCTTCCTTCCTTCCTTGAGTATTCGGAATGAATGTCTTGCCTGCCACCTGAAGAGGTGCAATCCATTTTACATTTTACCATCTCTCAGCATCCCCCCCCCCACCTGCAGACAAGGCCTCGCTCAGGCAGTGCACCTCTTGGCCTGAAACATGGGTCTGGTTGGGTAGCTCAGGTGGCAAAGAAGGATACTCTTAATCTCAGGGTCATGGGTTTGAGCCCCAGGTTGGGTAAGGAGGTGCATTTTCCAGATAAACTATTTCACAGGCTTAAACACAGTAGTACAGGCACAGCTCCTGTTAAACTTCCTTTACTCAAAATCAGTTGTTGCACTTCAGTTTCTGTTACTCCTTTCAGTGGTGAAGCTGCATGCTCCGGCACGGGGGGGGGGGGGGGGCGTGGAGGGCAGGTGGGAGCGTGGCTGGCATGCGCCCCGGGGCGTGGCATGTGTCCTGGGGGCGTGGCGTGCTGCTTGCAGGGGGTGGCGCTTGGTGCAGTGGGGGTGCACCACGCCCCCATGGGGTGTGTGGCTGCGATGCTACCCCCTCCCCGTTGGTGCTGGGGGGGTGAGCTCCCCCCGCCCCTTCGCCAGTGACTCCTTTCTAGGTCCTCACTCTTAGGTCAGGCAGATGCTTCAAGTCAATGCTTTTAACAAAGTTGAAATTCCACTCCTGAGGTGCCCCAGTTGGGTTAAGACCAGGGGATGCCCCCGCCCAAAGGGGTCTTCTATACCTAGAAGCGCTCTCCCCTCCTGACTAGACTGAGAGCCAGGGGTCCTATATTCCCACAACTTCTCCCTCTTCCTCTTTTTCCTTTTGTTAGTCACTTTGTGTTGGACATTATTATTATGGGATAGCTTGGTCAGTAGAGGGTCGTGGGTTTGAGTCCCACACTGGCCAAAAGATTCCTGCATTGCAGGGGGCTGGACTAGATGACCCTCGTGGTCCCTTCCACCTCTACAATTCGGTTATTCTATATTTATTTATTTACAGTCCACCTTTCCCCAGACCTGGACTCAAGGTGTATAAATAAAATACAAAAACCAAAAACCATGTAAAATGGTTTAAAAAGCAATTAGTAGGATTTCAGCAACATAAAATCAGATCTACTAAAATGCACAGCACTGTGAAAAGTCCTTTTTTTCCCTTTTCTTAAAAGGCGTGACGACTAGAGCAGTGTCTCCGCCAGGCGCCCCGGGGGACAAGCCCGGCGCTTGCGGGAGGCCGGGGGGAGATGGGGGCGCGGGGCGAGGCAGGCCTTGGCATCGGCGGGGGTTTCCTGGGAGGCGCCCCCCCCCCCGCAGCCTGCCGAGGGACCAAAGTCCAGCGCCTTTGTTGGGTAAAGCAAAGTGCCGCAAAAGATTACTATTATTATTATCATCAAAGCGCCCCCGCCCCCCCCCCTCGAGGCGCCACGCGGGACCGGCTCTTCGAGGGGGCGGGGCTCATGCAAATCGGAGCCGAGTTCCCGAGCCGACGAATAGGAGCGGGCGGAGGCGGGGCGCCCTCTTCCCCCGAAAGGCGCATGCGCGGCGGCGGCCCGTCAGTCTCTCCTGCCGCCCGTCAGGCGCCGCTTCTTCACCGCGCGGCCTTCGCTGAGGGAGCCGAGCGGCCGGCGGGACACGCGTCGAGGGCTGGCCGTGCTGCGGGGACGTGACACGCGTCGTGAGGTAGAGCGGGGCGGGCGGGCCAGGGCCGAGGGGAGACCGGGCGGGGCCCTTCGCCTGGGCGCTTCCAGACATGCCCGCATCCATACACGTGTCATGCTGCCCCCGGGGCCTTCCCTCGGGGTCGCGCGCTCCGGGCCCCCCTCCCCAAGTCCCTTGGGCGAAAGGTTTCCCGTGAGTGCCAGGTCAGCCCCCTCCCCCCCCCCCGAGGCAGGAGCCCCGGAGCCAGCTCCCCCCGCCCCCCCCCGCTCTGCCCCACTCAAGATCTTCCTGCCCGGGTCCCCTCCCGACCCCCTTCTCTCTCTGTCTCGCCCGGCCCATCTCCCTGGTGTTGCCCCCAAGACTCCCCCCCCGTCCATTCATCCTCAGATGCTCCGAGGAGACCCCCCCCACCTGCTCCACACAAATGTCCCCTGTGGGACAAGCATCCTTCCATCCCAGCTACTCGACCCGCGTCCAGGGAGCATCTCCTTTCCCCCGGCCCCTCCACGAAGGCCGGAATGAAGGATCCCGTTTCCCTCCAGCACCCCCACCCCAAAGGGCAGCCACGCGGTGTGACATATTCAGACAGGAGCCACCATCCAGGCAGCTAAGAACATATTCTCCAACCCTGAGGCTGCTTATTTAAATGTACTGCCTGCTCAGTGGTCACTGAATACACTGCCATAAATGCTTCCTGTAGGAGATCCCTGCCCACCCCCTCCAGTGCCCACTGAGATCCCCTGCTCTTGTTGCACAAGGACTTCATTCCAGGACCTCATCTTCTCCGCTTCCTCTCAGGACTCTTCATGCCCCTAGTGCCCAAACTTCTTTCAAAGAGGACCAGATCTGATGAAGTGAACATGTGTTCACTTCAAAGTTGTTGAGCTTTTTTTACAATTTTACCCCAAAGTTGTTGAGCTTTCCGAAATGGACTTTGGACGTGCCTGCCCTAGTGCCTAACCATGTATCTGTCTGACTTTCCCGTCCATTGTTATCTCCAAAGATTCCACAAGCCTTTTATACTTACATGCTGCTTCATTTTTGTACCATAACCTAGGCCATGGGTAGGCAAACTAAGCCCCGGGGGCCGGATCTGGCCCAATTGCCTTCTAAATCTGGCCCACAGATGGTCCGGGAATCAGCGTGTTTTTACATGACTAGAATGTGTGCTTTTATTTAAAATGCATCTCTGGGTTATTTGTGGGGCACAGGAACTCGTTCATTTCCCCCCAAAAATATAGTCCGGCCCCCTGCTGAAAAAGTTTGCTGACCCCTGGCCTTGGCCTAGGCAATCCCTTCCTAACGTACCCAGATCCCCCTTATAGTAGATCCTCTCCTTACCATGTTCGGAGTCACGTATGAATGTGTGCAGCCTGCATATTTTTGAGATGCTGTTGAATACTTATTCTTCCAATACAAACTTGTAAATAGCTGTTGGGTTGTTCTTCTCAGAGTTTAATGGTGTGCTATAAGGGTTCAATGGAAGCAGGAATAAATTTCCCAGCAGTTTAAGGTGTTCCCAGATGCTAGATGTGAATGCACTGCTACTCCCTATCTTGCTGCCTGCTTGAGCCTTCAGTTGCTGGACAGGATTGAATAGTGCATAACTCGCATGAAAGATGTGGAAAATGTTGTCACGTCATGGAGGTTTGCCTCTGAGACAGAGTTCTGATTTGTGGGAGGGAATCTGTATACTCTACCAGCCGCAGTGTATTCATCAATCGCTCTCTTGTAAGGGTAGCCAACCGTTGTGGTTCCATAGGCACAGTTGCAATTTGGGTAAACTGCTGTGTGCACCATGCACACGCATGTGCACTCATCACAATCACATACATGCATATTCATTATCCCCCTGCCAACAATTGCACTTGAAAAAAGCCTTCTGTGGGCTAAAGTGGAAGGGCTCTTTCAAATATTATTTTTGAGGAGGAGGGGGCAGAAATGAGATGCTGCAAAACACAAGGGAAGGCCTCTGAGGGCACTGTGTTGGTAATGCATGTGTTAGCGGCTAACTGCACATTACACAATAAAAGCAGCTTTGGAAAAATGGGTTTTAGAGGAGAGAAGCATGGCAGAAGCATTCCTCATCCAATGTTTCTCTGCTGCAAACTGCTCCACTGCAGCTGTTCATGACTCCAAAAGCATTTTTGCTAGGGCAAAAGTACTTTTCAGCTTTGAAGGGGAGGGGAAAGTCACTTGTAGAAGCAGATACAAATAGTACAGGGAAAGGAGTCCTCTGCAGAAGCTAGTTTTGATTCACCTTACCTTTCCCATGTTTTACAGTGGTGCCTCGCAAGACGAAATTAATTCGTTCCGCGAGTTTTTTCATCTAGCGAATTTTTCGTCTTGCGAAGCACGGTTTCCCATAGGAATGCATTGAAAATCAATTAATGCGTTCCTATGGTCAAAAAAAGTCCAAACAAAGCCAAATTTGGTACAACAAGAGTTTATTAAGTGCTCTTTAAAGTCACACATACTGTAAAGAGCATTTCAAAAATTTAAGGAACAATAAATTAAGTTTCTAAACATGACAGAAAAACATTTAAAAATCAACAAAGTGTGCAGTACATTTTCTAAGACTCTGGGGGACAACTCGAAGAAGGTTCCTCTTCCACTCTTTGCTTCTTGCTGAAGAACCTGTCCATGGTCTGCTGCTTCATCCGCCTTTTCAGCACCTCCCTGAAAGGCTACATGACCCTCGTATCAAAAGTGTTCACAAGGTCATATGCCACGTGCTTGTCAGGGTGGTGCCGCTGTGCAAAAGCCTTCACATCCTTCCACTTCAGGCAAATGTCCCTCAGTTCTTTGGAGGACAGCCGTTCCTCAGTTGCTTCCTCCTCTTCCAGCGAGGCCTGCTCCTGCGCAGCCTCTGCCTGCAGTTTGACCAGCTCCTGGGTGGTCAGCTCGTGGTCGTGCTCCTCCACCAGCTCGCTGATGTCCTCCTCTGTGACCTCCAGGCCCATGGTCCTCCCCAAGGCAACAATGTCCTGCACCACTGTTGACTCTGGTGCATCAGAGTCACTTGGTGCCACACAGTCCGGCCACAGGCTGCGCCAAACGCAATTCAAATTTCTCTGGCTGATCCCGTTCCAGGCCGTGGTGATCATCTTCAAGCAGGTGACAATGTCGAAGTGGTCCTTCCAGAATTCCCGCAGGGTGATGGTGGTGCAACCAGTCACCTCGAAGCATCGCCTGAAAAGCTCCCCCAGCCCCTCCCCAACTGTTGCAAACCCCTCCCCAACTGTTCCCCCAGCCCCTCCCCAACTGTTGCAAACCCCTCCCCAACTGTTCCCCCAGTCACCCAGCACACAGAAATTCAAATCCAGAATTTTTTAAAAAAAACAGCAGAGTGGCCCAATGGTCACAGAAAATCATAAAAATGCAGAAAAAAACACACAAGCTTCCAGATTCTTGCAAACCCCTCCCCAACTGTTCCCCCAGCCACCCACCACACAGAAATTCAAACCCAGAATTTTTTTCGTCTTGCGAAGCAAGCCCATAGGGAAATTCGTCTTGCGAAGCAGCTCGAAAAACGGAAAACCCTTTCGTCTAGCGAGTTTTTCGTCTTGCGAGGCATTCGTCTTGCGGGGCACCACTGTATTTATTAAAATGTTTAAAGCACACAGTGTCAAGTGTTTCTACATTTCAAAACATAGAGCAACAATGTCCTGAATCAAAATAATAAATAAAAATCGAATAATAAAAGGTAAATAAAGTTAAATGGACAGTTAAGTCCAGTCATCGGCAACTATGGGGTGCAGTGCTCATCTCGCTTCAGGCTAAGGGATCCAGTGTTTGTCCGCAGACAGCTTTCCAGGTCATGTAGCCAGCATGACTAAACCACTTCTGGCACAACAGGTCACCATGATGAGTGCCAGAGTGCACAGAAATGCCGTTTACCTTTCTGCTGCAGTGGGACCTATTTATCTACTTGCACTAGTGTACTTTTGAACTGCTGCGTTGGCAGGAACTGGGACAAAGCAACAGGAGCTCATCTCGTCGTACAGATTCAAACCACCAACTTTCTGATTGGCAAGCCCAAGTGGCTCAGTGGTTTAGACCATAGTGCCACCCGCTCCCTATCAAAATAATACTGTAAGTCAGTGCAGTGGTACCTCGGGTTACAAACGCTTCAGGTTACATACACTTCAGGTTACACACCCCGCTAACCCAGAAATAGTGCTTCAGGTTAAGAACTTTGCTTCAGGATAAGGACAGAAATCGGGCTCCGGTGGCAGCAGGAGGCCCCATTAGCTAAAGTGATGCTTCAGGTTAAGAACAGTTTCAGGTTAAGAACAGACCTCTGGAACGAATTAAGTACTTAACCCGAGGTATCACTGTAAATGCACATTCAACATAGATGCTGTTTAGATTGTTTGGAAGTCTGGTTCATATACGTACAACAGACAAAGAAAATTGTGTGACAATTTCAAAATGAAACAAAACACCCATATACTTTTTAACTTTTTATGTGATTTTATTATTGCCAAAAAATGAAATTCTCTGTCTTTTCCCTAATTAAGGAGAAGTATAAGTAGTGCTAGTTTTCTGTAACTAGAACACAGAAGTTTAGTAGCACCTTTTATAGGCAGTCATAATATGCTAAATGTATACTATGGAATTTTTCATCCATATCATGCCAAATATTTTGCTAAACATCTGTATTCTACTGGTTGTTAGATCCATCTGTCTCAGGAGACAACGGAAGAGTGCATCTTCAAGGGTAAAGTCAAACCATTTTGGAGAGTGAAGTGTCTCTTCTGTGGCTTTAGGTTAATGGAAGGATGTATACAAAATTGTGATATTGCCTCAGCTGAATTCTCCATTCTGTCATCTGATGGTCTCTGTGGTGTCTCACTTAAGTGTCTGGATGATGCAATGCAGAGTAGTTTATTGGGTGGGGTTCAGTAGAGGAAGCCTTGTGACTTGATGGGGGCTGATGCTGAGTTGCTGATGGCAGCTTCTTGGCAAAGCAAGTGGTGTGAAGGGGGTGATGCTTATTAGCAGCTTAGTCTTAACTT